CTGCGAGCTGGGTGCCAGCCCGTATCGGCTTCACCCTCCGCCGGCGGCGCTTGGCGGGAGCAGCGGCGGCTGTTTCCTACCCCGTGCCAGCGCGGGGACCGGCTGCCCCAGCCGGGGCCCTGCAGAGGGGGGGCACCACAGCGGCAGCTGGGTGCCACCCGACGGTACTCCACACGCAGTATGAGCGTGCCGCGCCCAGCCCTGACGGTGTCCCTGCCTGCAGCCCCCCAGCAGATGCCTTGGGCACATCCCGGACCCCCCCTCTCCACCGTGCCTTGCGCTGAGTCTGCCCAGCCAGAGGGGCATGTCCTGACCTCACGCTCCTGAGATGGCAGCTATCCAGAGCTTCAGTGCCACCCACCCCGGGGACCCCGAGCCTGGGGACCTGATCGAGATCTTCCGGCCAGCTTACCAGCACTGGGCCCTCTACCTGGGGGACGGGTACATCATCAACGTGACACCCGTGGGTAAGGCTGGCGCAGCCCGGCGGGGCACAGAGGGGGCTTTGGGGTGACCCGGGAGCCCTGTCTCCCTGGGCTGGTGGTGGACCCTGTGTGTGTAGATGGCCTTTCCAGGAGCCAGAGACCCCTCTGAGGTCTTGGAGCGGCCAGACAGGGCCTGCCTGGCTCATCCCGGCCCTGCCTTCCCCAGATGAAGGGCCTCCTGCCACCCTCGCCAGCGCCAAGTCAGTGTTCAGCAGAAAGGCCCGGGTGAGGATGCAGCTCCTGAAGGATGTGGTAGGCAGTGACACCTACCACATCAACAATAAGTACGACAGCACCTACGCCCCCCTTCCCGTGGAGGAGATCATCCGGCGTGCCGAGTACCTCATTGACCAGGAGGTATCCTATGACCTGCTCGGTAACAACTGCGAGCACTTCGTGACGCTGCTCCGCTACGGCGAGGGGGTCTCCGACCAGGTAAGTAACATGGGCTAAGCCCCCGCACGCCTCACAGCGCGCCTCCTCGCTGCTCCGTGTGAACCCCTGGACCAGGCCACAGCCTGCAAACCTCATGGGCACAGCAAAGCCCCAGGCGCGGAGCCCCGAACTGTCACTGCCTCAGTCCTCGCTGGAGACCCTGAGCAGGGGGCTCACTGTGGCCGGCCTGCACTCTGATGGTGCCCTCATACCAAATGCCACAGCCTAAGGCCAAAAGCCTGGGTGTTACCCCTTCTGCTTATGTGGCAGGTGTCATTCATTTAATTGCCTTGATTATCCCTGCCTGTACTTCGTTAGCATGCCTGGCGGTAAAAAAGAAAAACTCATTGTGTTTCCAGCCTGTGTTTTACTTCCCCTTTGCAGGCCAAGAGAGCAATAGGTGCCATTGGGTTTGTAACAGCAGCCGCTGGTGCCTTCTCCTTGCTGGGCTTGCTCCACAGCAGATCCAGGGAGAGACAGTACTGACCGGCCGGCGGGACGAGCTGGGAGCAGGGCAGGGAGCCCCCGGCCGGGAGGGACCCGGGGCCGTTTGTGGCCGCAGCTGCCACTGAGACTTACTAACAACAGTGTTGCCCTTGCTGAGAGCAGCACTAGCCTGTTTGCCGCATCTGCTTTTATTTCATTACCTGTGATGATTTTTGTGGTAGTCTGGAAGCACTTGCAAGCAAATTCTCCATCCTCACACCCCCAGCGCTCTGCTGAGGACTGGTACTTTCTACACACATCCTGTTTTTATCAGTTTTTCTCAGTTTTGCCCCCTGGAGCTGGGGCCATTGGCTCTTGAGTGACCAGAAGTGGAATTTAAGCAGTTTGTAGCCCCAGGACAAGATTGATCTTCCTCCAGCCAGCAGGACAGCAAAGCTGGGGTCCCTGCGGTGCTGTGGGTGACATACCTGAAGAAAGAGCGGCACTGCACCTGTGCTCAGTCTCCAAATGCACAGAGCCTCACTATTTCCTTGTTACAAATCTGATGTGTGGCTTGTCTGGGAAGAAAACTGTTTCAGAAAAGTGTGGTATATTCCTCTTTACCAGGAGTATCTGGCTTATGTGGTTGGAACCATGTTATTTGCAGACCACATGTAAGAAATTAAATGCTGTGGTGTTTCTGTGACAGGCAACTGGCTGGGTTGTAAGAAGAGACGAGAGAAAAGAGCTGTCTGTAAGAGACTTGCTATTTTTGTCTGCTCTTAACATGTACATAACAGGATCAGAAGCTTTTTTTAAACATCAGTTGTTTCAATGTTTGAAAGAACAAAGCCAAGACTTCTGGTCGTATTTTGTAGTGCCCTCTGTTATTACATTTAAATAAAATTCTTCTTTTCTAATATTGGAAAACCTATTACAATAAAACTGAAACAAAGTCCTTTTTTTGCTTCTTGTAAATGTAATCAAAAGTTCTTTCGTGGCTAAATTCAGTAGGCTGTTGAAGAACTTGAAGACGAAAGAGCAAGTACAGAGGGGCTCAGCTTCTTGTACCTGTCCAGCAGTGACATGCCAGAGCACATTAAACCCCTGCTTCTTGGCATGACCTAGTTAAAGGAAGAAGTCAAGGCTTAGCCCTGCTTTCTGCCATGTGACAAACGTGAGCCAGAGCCTGGCAGTGGCAGAGCACGACCCGGGGAGGTCATGTGTGTGTGTATGCAGCAGCTGTGCTGTCCTCTGCCTTTGCAGACTTAAGTGGGGCATATCCTCACGAGCCTTCCCAGCCTGCTCGTACCGCAATCTGTAAACTTTAACCTTTCCTGTACACACAGAGCGTTACGTCTGCAAGAACTGGCAAGGGAGAGCTAGGTGAGGGCAGCATATGCACCCTCTCATATCTAATTCTTTGGGATGCAAGAAAAGTGGAATTACTTAATCTGGGGAACTTTCTTGTAGTTCTTGGAAGCTGCAGCATTTCACTGAACACAGTATTTTGCAATTGCACACGTGCTCCTCTGTGCAGTCAAGATCAAGTAAAAGTCCCTTATTTTGGATTGTCATCCTGTCAAGCCTGGTGGGTGAATTAACAGGATTTGGTGGAGCAGTGACCAAAACATGGAGTGAGAGTGTGATGTGGAGCCGCAGAAGACATTGCTTTGCTGTATTCAGTATTTTTGAGCCTTTGTAGAAAATGTTGGCAAGGCCCAAGACCTGCTGTTGCCATGGGGTAGTCAAGGCTGTTGTTTTACCAGAGTGGACAGGTTTGTGCAGGGATTTCAAACATCTGAATCTGGTACACATCAAAGGATGAAAACACGGGCTGTTCAGTGCAGGCCAGGGAAGCTGCCAGCACTGCACAACCCCACACCCAGGTGCAGGGTCTCACCTACTCCTCGTCACTGTTTTCATAGGTGGGGTTAATATAAATCTCGTCCGTGCTTTTTGCTCCTATGTCTTTTGCATTTAAAGGAGGCCAGCTGGGATCACTCTGCAGCATCCTCTGCCATTTTCGGTACTGGCTGTTTGACTGGTACCCAAACAAGGCTTTAATCAGCAGCCAGAGGTGTTTGTTCTGCAAGATAACGTCCTGTGGAGGAACACGGCACAGGGTCAGTGCTGTTGCCCCTCACTGGAAGGGAGGGCTGCTCAGGGACTAAAGCTATCCCTTGCTAGATGTGCAGCGCCCCTGAGCCCCGTGGCGCTGGGTGGCTGCATGCACTCCCCTTCGGTAGCACGGCTGCCAAATGCCACCTTCCTCATCCAGGGAAGGGCTCTGCTCAGTAATGTCCGGACAACACTGATCTCAGTCTGTTTAGCTGAAGGGGATAATCAAGGGGCAAGATTTTCTTCCTGGGGCTGTGGGACAACCAGGCACTGCTGCTCCCTGCAGGGGACAATACCCAGTGCTGGATACAGCTAGCCTTGACCTACAAAAGACTTCAGGGCTTAGTCATTACTGCAATACCCAACGACGCAAGCCAGCACAGTCTCTGGCCTGGTCAATTGTAGGACAAGAGGGAAATTATTGTTTCAAAATTACAGGCAAGTGCCTGACCCGTACTGCGGTCTGCTCCCCTGCGAGCCAAGCCAGAGGGATCCTCCCGAGCAGTTGCACTGCAGCTCGCTCCTGAGGTGTGGTCTAAATCATCTCTGGGGCTGCATAAAATGGATTTGACTGACACACACTGAGTCTTAAGGAAAAAAAAAAAAAAAAAAGGGCCTGAAGGTTTATGCTTCTGCAGGAGGAGAGCCTAGCTGCAAACGGGAGTAGAAAGACCTGATCGGACGCTGCTCCTGTTCACCCCAACGAACAGGTGGTAAATGAACACACTCACCTCTGTAAAAAGAGATACACAAAAGGTGACCAAGAGCATCAGTAAGACGTAAACTCTCCAGATCACAGGAGTGCAAAGAAACTGTTGGAAAAGACATGAACAGCAGTTAAGTTTAAATGCCTTGCTAAGATTTGCATCTGTTCCTAATGATTTGAGAAGCTGACTAACACTTCCCCAGTGGCAAGCATGGAGGAGGCAGTAGGAAGTGACAGTAATTCCTTGTCACAGATCTTGGAACATTTGATGCCAGATTCCCCATGGCATGGAGCTGCCTAACTCATCTTGGCTACTTAAGCTACTGCTGAAACCTGCAGATCAGGTGCCTGGGGCAGGACCTTGTGCCAAAATACTTCTGGGGAGCCGCAGCTAATGCACAACGTACAGCTCCTCTCCCTCTGTGTGCCTGCCCTTACACCAGCCTTCCACATGAATCCATCCTGTGCAAGGTGGCCGGGTACGAGCTGCAGGGCTTGGCCGTTCCTGATGCACAGCACAGCCGGAGGCAGCTGCCTGCACCGTGCCCTGGCTGAGCGCCCAGCAGGGCTGAGGCAGCCTGGCCCATGTGAGCTCGTGGTGCTCCGGGCACGGGCAGCGCCAGTCCTGCCCACTTGCTTCTCTGGCCAAGCCTCCTCCAACATGCAAAACTACAATCCACCCTATTGTTCCTCTCTGTTAGGAAGAAAAGCTCAGCAAGCTATAAGTACTTTTTCTTCTCCCAGCTGCCACCCAGTCTTTAGAGAAGACTACCTCATTAATCAAGGTCTTGTCAGAAGGATGTTAGAGAAGTTTGAAAGGACAGCCAGCAGTCAGCATCAGATCAGCAAATTAATTTCCAAGATGACCGTAGCTGTAGCTTCTGCTCTGTATGCTTAGGTAAAGGGCCAGCAAAATATGTAACATGAAAAGGAAATGCACATTTTGTTTGCTCTTACCTGCATGCCACTGTACACAGCATCAATGTCGGCGAAGAAGAGGAAGAGGCAGATTGCAAGCTGGAGGGCCAGGAGGACTGAAAATACATCTAGGGAAAGAAGAGCATTTGTGGCCCTGGGAAGGAGGGGGACTGGTGACCAAGCTCTACAAATATGCCAAGAGGAGTCCCAAATGCTAATGCCGTAAAACTGTCATCATGTAAAAAGCCTTTTTTGTTTTTTTGTTTTTTTGTTTTTCTCCCCACTAAAAGAAGAGCTGTGGAATTGAAACTTGAGGAGCTCCTCCCCAGCAGCCTGTTGTAAAGCTCACCACCTACACTGCCTTTTTTTTGCACAAGTGATTTGGCACATTCTGATTCTTATACAACCATGCAAAACTGCCTTGAAGGAGCACGGCTGTAAGCCACACCAGCATCCCTTCTCCTGCGCTTGCTTCTCCACATGCTTAGCCGTACACCTAGACCACAGGCAGCAGAGGAGACTCCCGGTTCTCATGGGCTGCCCTCCCAGGGAGAGCCGGATGCTTCTGCAACCGAGAGGTTGCAAAGATGGGCTATACCCATGCCTTCACAGGAAGAATTTTTCTGGCTTTGCATCCATTTCCAAAGGAGCAAGAGGCCACACAGAGATGGCAAATGGGTCAGATGTCCAGAGGTGCCAAACTCCTGGCAATTGCCAGGAGCTGAGCTTCTTAAAACTACCTGACAAGTTGTGTCAGCAATTCCCAATGGCCTCCTGGCAAACTTCTCACTGCCAGGGAGGAGAGGGGACAGGGCTGAGTGGATGGCAAAAATAAGGGGATTGCCCTTTACTTCCTTCTAGAGATTGTCCCAAAGAAGGGTAAAACACAGAGAAGTGTATGCAGATTTCTCAGCTGACAGAGTCCTATGTCCCATCTCAGCCTGGCTGCTTCGTAGGGTATCTTCTTTCTGGTCTCACCTGTCTTCTGCAGGTGATCAATGCTCTGTGAAATGGGTTTGGGACCTGCTTTTTAACAAAATACCTAACAAAATCAACTCATCCATGAGCTGCAATTGCAAAGGAGATAGCAGTCAACTGATGGCTAGAAGGTCTAAATCATCTCTGCAAAACTCAGAAAAAGAAAAGTTATTGTGAGAGGATTTAAACAGTAATATTATCATGGGGTTTTCTCTTGCATCTCTAGGAATGGAAGTCAGGCAAGGTAAGACTGAATCTCAGAGGAACTCTTTTTGATGTGTGCATTTTGAAATAAACACAACTGATTCTCATATGCTCTCTGTGGTCACAATAATACACAATTCTGCACTAAATCAAGCTCATCATCTTCTGCAAAGCACACATTTTCCAAAACAAGGTGCGGTCTCCTTTCTCAGCTCTGCTCTCAAGGAAGGAGCTAACATAAGCAGTGCTCACCGAGTTTTTTTGGAGAAGTAGGAGGTCACATACACCACCTATTATTTCACATGACAGTCACTGGTGTGGATACAGAAATAACCCACAGTATCTCTCCCCTAGCAGCCTCTCCTGCCAGGTTTTATTTTGGGTCAGAAACAGGAGTCTGCAGAGTACATGTTACTCCAACTTTACTCACAGTTAGTGTAGATAGGCTTCCGAAAGGGCTTTCCCTTAGAAAAGACAAAGGCCACAATGATGCAGTTGATAGAAGACAGTGGCCACAGTGTTGTGTCTTCATAACTGAGGACAGTGCTCTGGGGACCACTGCTGGTAGCATTTTCCCCTGGGCTGGTGGGGGGCACAGTCTGGTTCCCTGGAGAGCAGTGTCTGTAAGGTAACACCCAGCATTTTGTTCCTGCTCTCTCCAGCAACAACGAGCTGCAAACAGCAATTCCTTCTTTTTTCAAACCAGCCTACTATAATAACCAGATATCACGCACCAGAGTGAAAACCATACATTAAAAAAACCCCAACCAAAACAAACCAAAAATATCAGCTTACTTTTCTGGTGTGTGCCAAAATGTCAGCTCTCAGGTGAGCAATGACATTGGTGTGTGAAACATGGCCATGAAGATGTGTGCCCCAGGTGCCTGCACACCAGCACACTCGCCCTGCGATGCATCCGTGCAGCAGCAGGGAAGTGGCCGTGGCTGAGCTCTGGCACCTGGGAGCATCCCTACTGGAACACCACGCTGGGCCTCCTGCCCTGCCAGTTCATTTCTGCATGACGGTATGCTGGCCATTAATAGATATTATGTAATATAATACATGATATAATCCAGCTCTGGAATACTGAGAGAGGCCTTTTACCTTTCACAAACACAGAAACAAGCCAGCTTCCCACCTTGCAACCATTTTTTAAGCCAAGTTGGATTCTAAAAAACCCCACCCCGGGGCTGTTTGTTTCCCGGAGGAGCTGTGTGGCTCAACCCTGGGAGACAGCAGCACAGTGGGGTGGAGGGAGACCGGTGGGCCCCAACCCACTGCCCCCAGCTGCCACCCAGCTGTGCCAGGGATGGGCACCTGCCGCAGCTCCGGGGCACGGGCACAGGCACCAACACTTCTCCCGTGTTTCCACCCTGCACCCTTCAGAGAAGGCATTTGAAAAACATGCATGTGTTAGTCCTTGGGCTGGTCCTTTACATTTCACTGTGGCATCTGCAGCAACTTAATCTGTCTTGGCAACACTGCTGAGTACACACATGGGGAATTGTCCCACTCCAGGTCCTGCAGTGTGCCTGGCTGCAGGCCCTGGTGAGGCTGGAGTGTCCCCCGCACGCAGCAGCAATGTGATGTGCAAGCTGGAGATCAGAGACAAAAAAGAGAGACTTACCTCTGGCTGGCCAGCGCTACATACCAGGGCTGCTGCTTCACCAGAAGGAAGCCGCAGGTTTGCATGGCTATGGTAAAGCACACGTTGAGGATGATGGAGAGCAGCAAGGGAGGAGAGATGAGCTGTCCAGGAGGGCGATAAGGTGCCAGCTTTGGATAGGCTTCAGTCAAGCTCACTGGAGAGAAACCGGAGGAATTTCAGTCCATGGCAGCCCAGCCCATCAACATCCCTCTGCATTTGCTGGGCAAGCAGAGCCACACACAGACCCCTCCATCCGCTCATCACAGGTGAACGCTGCAAAGCCTGGACCTAATAAGCAGGCAAGAAACGGCTTTGATCTCCACTATTTCCACCTAAACTTTCTCTGAATGTCCCCCTCAGGAAAACACACAGAGAAGATGGGAAATATCACCCCATCCATGGGGACCTCCCCTGGGAGTTTAAGAGCTGTACTGGATCTCACGCTGGGAATACACAGGAGAGCCAGGAGCTGAAGTTATGCTGGCTGAACTCCACCAGCAGTCACCGGAGCAACTACTCCTCTTCCAGTCAAGTCTCACACCCAAGCCCTATCAGTACAGAGTTCGGCAACTGTATTTGCAAAGTACTATGAGCCCAATCCCACACTCCGGGCCCTAGAAATTGGTCTAGCATCAATGGTTATTTGATGTTCCTGACAGCAGAACTTGGCTCCTCATTTGAATTTTTACTGGGAAATTAAGTCAACTATTTACACTTAGGCTCTCAAACAAACATAGCTGGCTTCCCCAAGCTGCTTACTCGTTAAGCAAACCAGAAGAGTAATGATGACATCTTGTATCAAATACTGGTGATTTCCAAAGATCTGCAGTTGCTGGAACAAAAACAAAGGCAGTGCCACCTGAGAACTGATGACAAATTTGATCATACAAACTGTAGTATCCAATGCTATTTCAGAGCAATGTCCTGCCAGCAACAGCAGCTTCACGGCCCTGATGCATGAGGACTAGCAAGCCCAGCATGACAGCTGTCAGCCACGTCCCACTGAACCCTTTGATAATTCATAGCACTTGTGGGCAATCAACATCTGAATGTGGCACTGAATGTTTTCCACCCTGGTTCCAGCAGAGAGCAATGCCCCCTGGACCATTTTAGATTCGGTCACACACTGCCAGCCCAGAGTGTGACACCCAGAGTTTCACTTTGTGCCAGGTTTGAAATATCTTTGGGTAGTGGGGACATGGGCAAAGTTGGTGTGCCCTGACTAGTGGCTGGGGAAGCTGTCCCCTTATGGTGACCCACCAGCAGCCCCTGATTGCCACCAAGCCTCGGCTGTGCCTTGCAGATTCACAGCAGCTCGCTTTGCTTTCTGCCCTTCACCCTCCGTGGGACTGTGCACGGAAATGGGCATGAACCAAGGCAAGAGAGGTGGCCCAGACTAAATCCATATGTGAATTTCCTTCGCTGTTTTTCTTTCCATGTCTTAGAATTTTAGAGGATTCAACACATACTGGTGATACACAATGGTAATTCTTCCTTACCACAAAGGTAATTCTACCCTCCTTCATCTGCCTGAGACACTCACTTCTTTTTCAAGCCTTTTCTTTTCAGCAGAGGCAGCTGCTGTCCCAAAGCCCCCATTTTACAGCAAGTCCTGCTCCTGGGCCTCTACCACTCAACTAGGCAGGACTCACCCCCTTCTAATTCCCTTTCTTCTTTTGGAAGAGATGAAGTTTTATCACTGGGTTTTTTTCCCAATTCCCAATCTATCCCTTGCCAGTAATTACCCAGCTTTTCACATCTTTGTTATTCCTTGAAGCCTGTCTGCCTTTTCTTCCCTGCCAAGTAATACCACTAAAGATAAAAACCTACAGTGAGCACAGTGTACTGCTAAAAGATGGGCATGAAGCACTTACCCAAAACAGCAGAGCTGTACCAACAAACTGAATCAGGCCGTAAAGAGTCAGGTATTTAACCACAGCAAAGGAAGCAACCAAAGCAGCTCGACCTTCCCTGCTCAAAACACAAATCAAAGCTGAAAACTCCACTCAGAGCTACAGTGCTGTGATTTTAGTGTTATAGATTGCTTTTAGGATCTGTGTTTGGATCTCTAAGACTAGAAAACAGCTCAAATTCCATAGACAAATAGTTTGGCCTTAACATACTGCAGAGCCTCTTAACTACCTTTCATCTGCAGTGTTTTGTTTTATTCTGCAGCTATGGTTTTAATCCCTGGACTAAGCTGCTGTTTCTCTTTCATTATTAATTTGCTGAGCAGTTCTGGGAATCAAGAACATTTCCATACGAGCAGGTAATTGTCTGTGCATACATTTGGTTAAATGGCAATATACTGGCTGCTCCATGACTGTGTGCAGTATGCAGATATATATTTTTTAAAATAATGGCAAACAAATCTATTCTGTGGTCACTGTTATACTTGCCCTTTCATGTGACTCTACTGCTGTACCTGTTCCAAAAATATCGGCCACCACGGGCAGTGTTCTCCTAAAACTACAAAAAAACTCTCAGCACTGGAATTTGAGGATCAAAACCAATTCAAAACCCTTTCTGCTGTAATTCATACAGTTACCAAGGAATTAAGTTTAGTGTATCAGCATCAGTAGTGCACTCCCATTCGTGACCCCTCAGAACAGGCAGCAGCACCCCCAACTCCACCAAGGCAGCCCCCAGCAAGCTCACCTGATCAACTCCGGCACACACTGGATGTTAGGGATTTGGGAGGTGAAAGGCGAGGCCACGGATGCCTCCTGCTCTGACAGTGATATCCCTGCATGGGCCATTTTCAAAGCCTGAAATCCATGGGAGTCAGAAGAAGGAGACACATCCATCCACCCCTCCCACCCTGCACAGTGTTTACTGGTGCTTTACAAGTTTTGCTTCAAGTATCCTTTGTAATTGATCTTCCTCTATTCTGTGGCCTAGCTGATCTCATTTTCCAGATATCTTGCCTTCCCTGGAGCTTAAATATTTCTTTTGTTCATTTAATCCCATTATACCTATTTATAATCCTTTGAACTACCTCGTATGCTGTTTCCCACACTGGAGTCTGTGCGTACCTCTCCTGTTAAACAGTCTCCTAAACTATTTAAATTACCATTTTATCCTCTTTTTATTCTTTTCAGTCTCCTGTTCATATTTCTTGTATTGTTCCCTTATCGGCTCTCTGGACTCGTCACCTCTGGTTTACTGCTCAGGTGTAGGCTATGGACAACTTTGACAAAGCATGATAAAGCATTATTATAAAATTATATTATTATAACATATTTATTATAATATTATTGTGATATTGTATATAATTTATATGATATAATATATTACAATAATATAATAGGTAATATAATGATTATTTTCATGGCAAAGACCCTCAAATCTACAATTGTATAAGAAAAGTATAAGAAAAAGTGTCTTGCCCCTACTTCTGGGGGGAAAAAAAGAAACCAACACAAAACAGTAATCCTCTGTTACTGTGTATGTTAGTATAAAAAAATGCGTGTAGATAGTATTACAGTGACACGCTGATGGAGTGGACCCACTGGCTAACTTGGGAAATGCTGGTGACAAGAAGTGGTGTTGGACAGACTCTCATCACAGCACAAGAATGGGAGATGAGCTCCTACATACCCCGCAGTCGTTGGCGCCATCTCCACACATACCGACATAGTAACTGATGGAGAAAAAAGAAGGAAAACCCATAAGCCTTGCACGTAGTTGATCCTGTGGTGGAGCAACCGCTGTCTTGGCACTTGCAGGTACATCAGGGCAGGGACTTGTGTTGGCCCTGGAGAAGGGAGTGGCTGTTTCCAGAGGGCAAATTGTACATGGGGAGAGGATGAGGCAGAGTCCACCAGGCAGAATTAGGATTAAGTTTTGAAAGAGGCTATAATGGAAAAGGGAACACTGACACTTTATTTCAGACAGTATTTCCCCCATGGTACCAGGAGCCACGGAAAGGGAACAGGGTGTGCACATTTGCAGCAGCTCCTGTGGCTGAAGCTTGGCTTTTACCGGCACTTTCTCCTTCACTGTCTTTGTAGACCCAAAGACACAGGAATTGCTGAAATAATACAGCAGCTCACAAACCACCACACATGATGTCCCTCTGAGAGGGCAGGGAACTTCACCCCCAGAGGAAGCACCTCATAATCAATAATTAACTTCTTTTTCAGAAAGGTGTCATGTTTTGTTTATGCTTAGCAAGCAATATCCATAGTTAGTGTGAGTCCTGCTTGGGGGAGGAAACATTCCTTTGTGGGACCTGAAGGAGAATCTTTGGGGACAAGTTCCCATCTGCATCAGGTTGTTTTCGGCTTTGCTGAAGCCGCAGCCAGGACAGCGCCAGCAGCCACGGCGGAGATGCTGAGGGTGGGCACTATTAGGATACACAGGGGTCTGCCTCTTTATTTTTATGTCAGCCTCATTTAACGCTGCCTTCTGTACTGCACTGGTGAGCAGCAGTGGGTAAGTCTGGGCAAGAGGTGCAAAGGGATCCCTGTAGGGAAACTGCGAGGAAGGTGTCCACAGAGGACGCAAACAGGGGTCACATGTGGAGGAAGGGAGGGTTGGGAAGATGGGTCTGGAGCAGCACTAGCTGGGACAATTACACTTTAAAGAAAACTTGTTATTGGCCTGGTTCAAGAAGAAAACAAAAGAGAACCTTACTCAAGTTTCTGAAACTCTTCAACGAGGCTGGACTTCTGGCCAGGAGACATCCTAGCAAAGACAGTCGCGTTCACCAGTATCTGCAGGAAAGAGCAACAGACTGCCTTGGGGCAGGCATTTGTGCCCCCATCGTTCCACCAAGGCATGATCAGGCCTCCCTGATGGGTGCCTGACACATTCATAAAACCCTCTAATCCCATCTCCCAAACCCTACCATGGTTTTGCTACCCTTAGGGTTCAGGTTTCCTCCAACACCTGTTTTCTGCCTTGCCTGTTCTGTAGGAGATGCTGGGACACCAGCGATCACCGCGTGCTCTGCAGCATCCTTTAGAGCAGCAAGGCGTTGTAAGTGTTTCCCAAGTGCAGAACAGATGGCTGATGACAGCAGCAATAACACTGCTCAGCCTGAGGTTTCTCCTACCTGAAAGTCTGGCCAGAGAGTATAAAATCTGAAAATCTGTCCCAGCACCAATTATTTTTATGGACTGCATAACAGCAGTTGAAGATTTCTGCTTCTAGATGTGGGTATTTCATGTTCCTGATGCCCTCGCTGAGCAGAGGCTATTGCCAGCTACAGTAGTAGCACATGGGACTGGGGTTGATGTTTTTAATTAAACTGAAATTGAGAAGGTGACCGTGGAGTAACTCCACTGCACAGCTGCTCGCAGCACCACAGCCACCCTTGTCGTGTGAGGTCTTAGAAAATGCTGAAAGCAAGTTGTTCAAGTTAAACATGAGGCATGATGGGAGGCTGCCCAGAGCTGTCAAAATGTGAAGCGACAACATTACAGCTACAGACACAGAAAAACACCTTTCTGCAGCTGGAACACTACTGCCACTTACTAAAACAGGGAGGGCAAGTAAGTGCTTTGTTTCCTCTGAACTTACTTTTGGCAGCAAGTTGTAGAAGTACTTTATAATAACCTGATAGGACTTCCCATTCATTGCAAAGTGGTAGTTGTAGGTTTCTCCTTCCAAGGTGATCTTTTCCTCAGTGTTAGCACATACCTCCAAGAAATAAGACAGCATTTATTCTCAGGCTGAAGTCATAACATGCCATTTCACTTCCATCTCATCAGCCTCCCACCAAGCATCCAGTGACACAGCCTTCTGCAGCATCCTTTTGTGAAACTTTACACCTGGCACTACCTGATTTTCTAGCTGTGTTTCCACACATAACTAAACCCTGTTAGCCACTGGCTGCTAGTTTAGATACTGAAGTTTGGCCCAGCAAATAGTCACACAGACAAGTATGTATAATTGCATTAATTCTGCACACTTCAAGTGTGATTGAAGAGGACACTGCATCTACAAAGCCTTGCCAGTTATTCATGTAGTTATCTCCCTGAGCAAAGAACCACTGGATTAATTATTTCTCCCTAACAGGTGCATGGTCCATACCACACCTCCATACACCCTGGGGTAGATACAAACTAGGCCACGGGTTTCCTCTGTTTCTCAGAACTACTTCCAAATCCCCAGCAAGGAGTCAGTTATTAGACATTAAAAGCTTTGTTAATTCCCAGTGGCACTGGAAAGCAACCATCCCTGGCTGTGCTTACACGGGGAGCAGCTGTGTTTGCTTTGCAGTCTTCTGCCAATCGCCAGGCAATGGAAGCTGGAGCGGAGCCCTCTGGTTCCTTTGCTTCGATGAGGATGACTTTGCTGCCTGTGTGGATCATACCTGCATTCCTGGCCACTGTTACAGCTGTCTGCAAGTTGTCTCCTGCAAGGACAGTGGAGAGACAGGCACCTCACATCTGCCATAGCATGGTGGCAGCCCAGGTAGACCATGAATATGCAGTGGAGGATGCTGGAGGAGTGAACCTCTCTTTGTGTGCCTCGTGACAGACAGCACAGCTACAGAAGGAGCCCAGGGGACATACCTGTGACCATGACGCTCCTGATGCGGGCGGCAGCCAGCTCTCGTAGCACAGGCTTCGTCTCCTGCTTCAGGCGGTTCTCCATCACCAGGAGGCCCAGAAACACCAGCTCAGACTCTGCCTCCTCTCTTGGAGCAAGGACAGAAACAAACACTCTGTTTACTCAGGGATGGCACAGAGACCCTCCCTGTGGTTATTATTCAATGGGAAAGCCATGCTCGGTGGGAAACATGTATGCTCCACAGGGAAACACAACTCCTACGTGTGCAAGACAAGCAGTGCTCCACAGGTGCCAACATTTCTGCAAGTTCAGCCCAGCTGCTGACCCACTACACTGCTGTCCCTGGGAAGGAGCAATGCAGCAGAGATGCACGCGCAGAAAGAGGGACAGGGATTTGCGGGAGCTGGCTGGCTGAAACCCACACATTATGGCACACACAGTTTCTGTTGCAGTTCCAATCCACTGCCATATAGAAGCAGAATAATAAGCTTTCATTACCCTTTGATAACAGATTCTGAAGTTCAGCTCAGAAAGCCTTGCAAGAGCAGTAGTAAAGCAGGCAATTAGCAGCGTAATCAGCACCTGCTGAGGGGAAGGTGTTAGATGGTACAGCTTCCCAATAGGTTTCATTCAGTTGGAGAGGAGGGGAAGGTTTGGGTCAAGGCAGGTCGGTTTGGGGCAGGTTGTAACAAGCAGATAGGAAAGTAACCCCACAGTGATACCAGCCGCTCACCAGCGCACGTTACCTCTCTAGGCTGTTCACATCTACATCCTTCCCAAGGTTTAGCACTTTATGGGCCAGGGCAATGACTCTGAAGCCTTGGCTCGTGTATGTCTTAAGCTCCTTTAAGAAATTAACTGGGACTGTTTACAAGAAAAAAGTGTCATGGTTAGAATATTCCATCCTTGCTGATTGCTTTCCTAGGGTTACCTGCCTGTCCTTTAAACCCCTTTACAGCCTTAGCTGCTGCACTGTGGCCTCTCCTAGAAGTCAGCTGGTTTGTACCAAGGCTGTGTAACTGATTGTTCAAATAAGTGATTATGTGTCTGTTTTATACTTCCTAAATGCATGTTAAGGTGCAGGTAGAGAAGGTGAATTACTGGGCAGAGGACAAATGACTGACTTCATGATTCTGTCCTAAGCTCTAATGCCTGAATGACTGAGGAAATTGTATTCATATTTATGTCTTAATGTGAGAATTCTTCCAAATTCTAAATTTTCAATTCTCTGATCATTACCATGACTCTAAAAGCAGAGTTCCTTTTAAATTTGCAGTATTTTGTACTCACTTTGTTCTGTAATCACAGCTTTACAGGGCGCTACCTAATTATTCATTACGCTGTAATCAATATAGAAACAATCAAGACAGGATAAGAGGAACTATTTAGAAACCTGAGAAATTGGAACATAATTTTAAAGACATTTTTCTTAATGATGTTGACTTGTTTGGAGGTTTGTGTCATTAGATCTTAGATGGTTCTAAACTAAATCTTTCCATATTCCCTCAAAACCGTCTTCACCTTTTTCAGGTCTGTTCCATCTGAAATAGCAAACCACAGACCATTGGTACTGTGTTTGCTCAGCATCCTTTTAAAGTATTCAGGTGAATGTGACCTAAGTTTCAAATTTGCAGACAAATTTGAGTACAAGCCTATAATATCGTTCACATACAAAGAAGAAAAGCTTATGTGTACTCACAGAGAGGTGACAGAAGTCTTGGCTCAAGTGTTATTACAAATTATCCTTAATAACAGTAATTTGCATGTCCACAGCGAATTCTCCATTGCTGAGATTTAAGGCCTTTGCAAGCTGGGTCAGTAACTCAACACTGAATTTACTGGGTAATAAATTAGGAGGGAATTTGAGAACTTGCATAGCACAACACACTTGCTGTGACAAATGCAATTACCATGATCCTACATCTGCTCTGAGTATTTTGATGTATCAACATTATGTATGCATTATATCTTCAGCTGATGCATATCAGCTAAGGGGTGTATAGAGGCTGAACCTCAGGCCATGCATCTCGCTAGCTGTTGGGCTCTTTAACTTACAAACAATAAAAACATGTTTGTAGTATTAAGTAATGACAAGCCCAAGGCTTGTTTGTGGGAAGTTATACACATGCAGTTGCAGTGTGGCCAGTGGAAATCCTTTTAGGATTAAGTCCAAGTAAACACCATAAAGTTGCCCGTTCCCAGTTCTATACCGGTATCTTGTCTGCAAAAGCTGGACACTATTTCTGGTGCTCCTTTCATGTACAGGTCATACTGTTCCTCTCCGATCTTCTGTGAAACAACGGACATCCTTTGCAGCCCGGACGAAAATGGGAATTGATGTAGGATTGCTATTCCTTCCACAGGAGCCTGGAAGAGGTCAGGGAAGCACGATGTTATCCAAGTCATTGATTATACAAAGCAAATCCATTCTGAACTTTAGCTCGTTTCAGTCTTTGTTGCTAAGGTGATTTATTATTAATAGGAGACTGTGTCACTTCTGCTGCCCTCTGGCTATGGGATCAGATCACTGATGACAGGTTTAGGAACCATGGTCTCAACAACTCTGTCTTCCAAGCGTACTTTCCAGGAACCTCAGTGCTTTATATTTAACTTGTTTTCCAGATTTTGTCTCAGCCTTTCTCATAATAAGCACATATTAAGGTCATATTCCTGCATCTACAGTCCTGGGAACTGAAATTTGATGAGCTACGGTGACATTACCATGGGAACAGAGCAATCCTAGAAACAAGACTGATTTCCTTGTTGCCACAGCACTGTCTTCCTGGTATTGCTAGCACAAATCATACTCCTTCCACTGGGAAGAAGCTGGCTGGGTTGACATTTGGACTGGAAACACAAATTTTCAACTGTCAAAACTTGGAGCTTCCCAAGAGTACTCTTAAGAGGAAGAGTGAAGCAAACAAGACCGTGCTTTGGGGTGAGGCTGACAAATCTGCTAGTCGGGTTGCACAACCATTAGCAGCAGGACTAACGGACCCATCTCCGTACTTCTCGGTGTAATGCCTTGTCCTTACTCGCATTGCCTCCTCCTGCAGGTGAACTCACGCTTTAGATGTTTATTCTGTTTACATGGTTTCTCTGCATTAGTTTTCTCTTAAACTGATTGTGTGGTTTCATTTTGCCAGTAGCTTTAGGGGGAGAGGACTCAAGAGAAGTCTGTACCTTTTATTAATGCAAAGAGTAGAGTTGGAAATGAGGGGGGGCTTTTAGGCCCATGAAGTGCTTTAGATGCCACTTCAAGAGCAGCATCTCCACTGGCTTTTCTGGTCCTATGTTTCCAAGGGATCTGTTTTGAGGGAAGATGCAACACAGTACCCAAGAGCGGATGAAAGGCATTTTGCAATCGCTAGCCCAGGTAAATGAATACTGCTTATGCTAGGAGTTTGCACTCACTGCAGGTTGAAAACACAAAATATTCGTTCTCAGAAATAACTGGACTTACACTGCTGGCCTTCATCCCTGGTCTAACGACGCAGATGTTGAGAGCACCAGCCCCATCCTGAGCTGTGCTGCAGTCTTCTATCTCCTGTACAGGGAAAAGCATTATTTCTGACACTTCTTTTTTTGTTTGGCTTCACACCTGCCTGTTAAAGCAGGGGCAGCAGCACATGGGAGTGTGTTTCCCCCATACTGCTGGCACCCAGTTCCAGAAGTGTTTTTTAATGATCCAGTAGGTCTTTCTACCCATTGTCAGCAACAGCCTCCCTGCAGCTTTGTCCTTTGCAAAAGCCTACATGGCCCTGTGTCTTTTGACTTGATGAAAGTAAAAACCTGTGTCACGTTCTGTGGTTTCCCTAAACTCAAGTTCCACATAAATTTAATGCCATATCAATGATAAAGGGAAAGAGAAATAATTATCTGGCTGGCTTTATCTTCCAGTCTCTTGATTTTAAAAGACTCACTGATGTTCTGTGCAGAAACAGGGTGGTAATTTTCAGTGTAGGATGCTTTTAGCCCTTTAGCTCTGTTACTTTATGTGCTGCCAAGGCTCATTCACCCTCATATTCCCCTTCTGCTGTCATGTGGCTCTGCTACTGCCTGTGCTTCCACAAGAGTGAGCCTGATGCCTTCCTGCAGTGCTGCTGAAAGAGCTGCCATCTGTTTTACTTCTTGATTAATCTCTCTTGAGCAAAAGGTTGAAGAAGCAAAGATGACGAGGCAGTTAACTGCAGAGACCCAGAACCCCTCCAGGCCAGGACATGGCAGGAAGAAGAGCAGCCCCTTGCCTTCTCATGCCTCCTCCCATCCTGCTCCCACCCAAGCAACTCTCCATCCCCACAGATGAGCCCTGAGGTTCAATCTCTTGCCTCCTCTCTAGGTCCCTCTGATACTTGCTGGTCACTCAGCTGGAGGCTCAGCCTTGGTTTCTCCATAGGGATGTCCCTTTGCTAATCAGAGATAACAGCCTTTAGCATAAGGGCACGAAAACCTGCCTGTGCATTTCCTTGGCTGCCTTGTGGTCAGTGCTCCACATGCCCAGCGGCGTGGTCTGATCCCCTGTTTCCAGCAAGCAGCAACCAGGCTCCCCCCCTGCTTCTTTACACTCCAGTGTTCCCAAATTAAATTAAGAGAGCAAATGCAGGCAGCCCCAAGGAAAATGATTCCCAGACTATCAAAAAGCAGCCACAGTGCTGCAAATTTGCCATGCAGTTAGAAATAACAGAGGAAATTCCAGTTGTTATGACCAGGATTGAAAAGGAGTTTCCCCTACAGGCATGTATTTGAGTTTGACTTGGGTTGGGGGTGTCCTGCTTTGGATGAGTGTAGAGGATGTGAGTCATGTTACCCAGTGCGTGCCCTCAAACATTTTCAAGTCCAGTGGATCTCCTTGAATCTTCTTGTCCAGAACAACCAGTGAATGACAGCTCGCCATAGCTCCACACACTGGTCCCCAGGGCAGAGGAGTGCTGGATGGGAACTTATGGATTTTCTGAAACCTGATTAAAAGCAGAGGATTAGTGGGACTGCCTACAAGAGGCATGCAGAGACACAAGTCCTCAGCTGGTGCATACAGGTGCTGCACTGAGTGGAGCTGAGCCCAATAACATCAAGCAACACGCCATCCTACCCATCCTTCTGATAACAGGTCGGATGTGTTCAAGAGGCCAAAAAGTACCCAGTAATTAACTGACACAAGTTCAATTTGATGCAAAGTGACCGAGATGGTAAAACACTCAGAGACCCTGGCACAGGCATCAGGAGTCCTGCTTAACAATTGCTGTTTGGTATTGGACAAAGCAGAGAAGACACTATCGGAGAGGAAACAACTTGCAGCAGGGATCTCAGAGAAGTCTGGCAAAGTACCCTAGGAGAAGATTTGTGAGGCTGCAGTATGGAAAAGGGGTGCATCTGCTCGGGTCAGTGCTCTGCACCCACCAGGGTGGACTAGCACAGGCAGCCCGCACTCCACACCCCTGGGAGAGCCACAGGGAGCTCTACCTTCACTTCCAGCTGTAGATTTTATATCTGCAGAGGCAGACACCAGATGCTTGTCCCTCACACCTTGGATTTAAAAATGGGTATGCTGGTTCACTCCTATTGAATTACAGCAAGGCATGCTGTCAATGATTCATGTCCCAGCTTCTTTTTGTGGAAAGCCTTGAGGTTTATTCCCTCCTTGGCCCCGCAGTACAGACCACACATGTGCAAAGCTGGTCTGGGTGAAGGCTCTATAATTTAATCATGGAAGTTGTTTCTCAGAGTCCTTTCTTCCTGCACACACATTTTTCCCTCAGAAACTGTCTGGCTGACAAGCTGTGTTTGCCAGACCAGAACACAGTCTATTACCATTTAGGCTGGCATGTTAAGGAGAAATTTAAATAGATTTTATTTACCTTTGATCACAATTAGCATCCCCTGTTCCTAACACAGGCACAGTGAAATGCATCTGGAAGTGAGCAGCGTGACAGCTCGCAGCTCTATTAAAAGGAACAATGAATCCAGGACCTGTTGTCCCTCTGGGCCATCCAAGTCTGTTCTGTTTCCAGCAAATTATACCTTGCTCTCAGCCTGGTCATAATTGGCTTATTAATTAATTCATACTTGAGAGACACCGTGAAACTGCTAAACACCACATAAAACCAACTAACATTTATATCTTATTAAATGTACAATAGGATATTTTGCAAGTTGAAGGAAATTCCTTTACTGTCATTGCCTCACAGTATTCAGCTTAGCTGAAGCTAGTCTTATAACACGTTTACAAATGTGTACATTTAAGAGAGTAATTATATAAATAGGCTAATGAGATCAATGCGGACAGCAATAGCTCCTCCTTGTGTTTTGGCAAGCCACCAGCACTGGTTCCCAGCTGGGTGCAGATTGGACATGTCTACAAAGCCGGCCTTATGTTTTGATACTTTGCAAAGGGGGTTTTTTATGGCATGCATTTATTCTGATCTACGGATGCAGTTTTGTTCTGTTGCTCATGTGAGCAGACACTACCCACAAGGCTACCTGATGGAAATCTTTCGGGCACTACCACGAGCTGTGTCTGCCTTTGGTGGGCTCCAAGCCTGTCCAACATGCACCTATTCGGCGTGGCCTGTGCACTGAAGCATGGCCAAGAAGTGACTGTCCTGTGTGCCTGTGGTTTGGTCCCTCTGGAAGAGCATTTTATTGTTTGACATTTATTAATCTCTTCTCATTAATTTGGATCCTTTGAGGAAGTATTGGGAATGTGATTTTTCTGCTCTCATAATGAATTCATCCTTTCATTCATTATGGCATGATTATCTCCATGGTGTTGAAGTATCTGATATATTAACAACCACTAATGAAACCTGGGAGTTGATATGGGGTGTGTGATTTGTCCTGGCCACTGCAAAAGATTAATATTTTGAGTTTGGCATAACACGCACTGCAGAGCTGAAGTCTGCTATTGTAGTACAGTAATATGAATTAAATAGTATAATTCTGAATATACTCAAGTTTAAAGTTTACATAGTGATTATTTCTTCAGGATTCCAATGGTCTTTAGGCTTGGAATTGAGATGGATCCTGACATGCATTAGAGAGAGTCCCCAAGGACTCTTGAGCTTTGCAGGTCTGATCTGTGGTCTCGTGGATTTTTTTCACAGCATTTACATAAGGTAGGTGAGATTTGACAGGCACCAAAGTCAGCAACACTTAATTTCAACAGAAGGAGCATTATCCTAACATTTCAATGATGAAAGGTTTATTGACTAGATTAAGAATATTTATTGAACTGTGCTGAGAATGACATAAATGAAAAGCTCTGTGCATATTCTCCAAATCCCCTCAGGGTAATTAAAAGCACTCATTCTGCTGCTGACTTCTGTTTGCCTTGAATTAGCAGCAACCTTTACAGGTATGTCTGCCAGAGCAGCACCCAGATGCCCTTCTCAGAGGGAAGGAGATGAGCAGGGACATCCATTGCACTCTGCCTCCCCAGATGTACCTGAACATCTCTTGCTGCATGCTATTTGCTGTCTCTCTGTACCCTATGCAACTGCCTCCCTCCTAACTAGACATTCGGGCAGTACCTTCACACTGGAGATTAGTTCTTGCTAAATTAAATCCTTCCTTACCGGCTTCCCTCGGAAGGGATGATGCCCCACAGGTCCAGTCCATCTTCTGTCAGCGTGCCTGTCTAAATGTAAATAAATATCTAGTTACCCTGCTATTGCCCGTCCCTTCCTCCTGTACATCCCCAGAAGTCCTTCCCCAGCTCCCGGGCAGGGTAAGGAAAGCCTCCTGCCCAGAGTGTGACCCTGCTGCACAGCCACTTGTAGAGGATGTTTCTCTCAGGTTAGATCAGGGTAGATGAGGTCAGAAAACCATATCCCATGCTCCTAGCAGCCCCCAGCATCTTTCAGTGCCCCAGAAAGTGCCTTACTTTGTCAAAGCAAACAAGGTTGATCTGCCCACAGATATTAATCCTCTGTGGGCTGATGCAGAAAATCTTCTTTTTCTTCAGCCTCCTTTGGGCATAAACAGTGCCTGTTGTCAAGGCAGCGGGGATAGCGGGAGGCACAGCTGCGGTCAGGAGAAGGAGGGCCATAGTCACCACGTCGGCCACCGGCTTCTGCAAACAGCGAAAGGAACAGGGGCAGCGGGGTGGGAGCGGCCTCCCCACCCTGCTACCGCTGCTTCTGCGGGGTCTGGCCCTCCTGCCCAGGAGCAATTCACCCCAAGCTCTGCCCCTGCGGATGACACACTTATTCTGTTTTGTTCTGTCCACCTCCTCCTTATTCTCCCCCATTTCTGGCATCAGAAAACCTAATCACAGAAGTGAACAACATTCCAAGGATCTTGAGGGACCGAGGGCTCAGAGCTGGCACCTCCAGCACAGAGGCATCCCTTGTACTTACCCCATGGGACACAAACACACACACAGTGTAGATGAGTCCGAACACACCGATGACAGAGAGGCCTACGATGAACTTGAAGGCATCTCTGTAGAGTTTGAAGTTCACTGGCTTTGGGTAGAGGATGGATCTCACCAGGTCACCTTTAGCTGTGTTGAACCCTGCGTGAAGACAAGTGCCATGCATTGTGTCCATGACATACCAGAGCCGTGCTGTCTGAGAACAGGTGACACTGCACAAGCCTTAGCCATGAGGTGCCAACAAGCACTTCTCAGGGACAGGAGACCTGTGCTGGGCTCGAACTGCAAAGAGAAACCAGCTCTCCTGCCAGGCTCTGGGGCTGCCACCTTCACTCTGCTGGTTAGCAAATGATAACAGAAATACCAGTTTGCAGCACGATAGCTCTCGCTGGCCCTTTGCCTGTCGCCTTCGTCTGTATGACTTCTGTCCCACAGAAGAGGACATGTCTCCGATAGTCTTCCATGCTGTGGGTTTTCCAGGGCATCAGACTCTCCACAAGGGGCAAGGGGGTTTTAGTAACCGGAACGCTTTCACCTAAGAACAACAGTATGCAGCTTCACTTAAAGGGGATTTAAAAGTCTGTCAGATTCTGCATATTAGAAAGTGACAGCACCCTTTAGGTGCTCAAGCTTGCCTGAGTAATTAGCTTGTTTATGTACTTAACCTATGTGGATTTATGGTCACAGCCATTATAGTTTTAGTATCAGAGTACATCAGATGGTTTCTCTGAGCACTTTTTAATCAAGCAGCTTGGGTCATATTTTGCCCCTGAACTAAGTTCATGCTTTATAGTGGCTTGATGTTTAGTTATAACACTTACCCTTGTGCTCATATGTTCTCTGCTTGAACAGAACTGCTGCAAGATCAGAGTCCAAAAACTCAAAAAAATATATATTCAGTGTATTTGAGTATTTTCACTTTCTACTCCTGACAGTATATTAGCCCTACTTGTTTTTAATGTGGATAAGAAATGTGTATTACACAATGTCAGTATTCAAAAGCCCAGGACAACTGTGAATTATTAAAGCCACAGTTTTTCCACCTCCTGCTGCAAACTATTATAATAAACAATTTGCTGTCAGAACAGATAGACATCTCCTTGACAGAGAACCTGCACAAGGCCTTAGCATCTCAACTCCAAGGCTGCACCTGTGAGCATCCCTTCATTCACAATGCAAGTTCCATCAATCAGGATGGCATCACATGGGAGAGAGAGCTTCTTCCCATCTAAAAGAAACATGTCTCCAGGGACTAAGTAACAAGACTCCAGCTCTTTGCAACCTGTAGAACAATACAAAAATTAAGTTTACTTCTGCACAAGTTCTGGGCAATTAAAAAAAGTCACACACAACATCACTAAACTTCTACACTGCATGATTTAAGGCCAGTGCCTCAGAAACAACACTGGCTGAAAAGCAACAGCGCAAAGATCAGCCCTTGTCTAAACATCTCTCTCCGAGTGGGTGTCTTCAGTCTCTTTTGCTTAGTGTCCATAAAATACTCTGATCAAGAAAACCTATCCAAGGCCTTTACATCTCCCATCAGACTAGCAACTGCCCATCTCAACATCTTTGGGAGGTAAAATTAGCTATAAGCCCTATTTTATGGGCAAGGAACTGAGATGCAGGAAAGAAAGTGCATACCTCAGTGGGAGCCATGTATCTACACTCTTTGAAAATCGCTTACAAGCTACTTGACAAGTTACCTGACAAGTAGCCTATAGCAGAGCGGGGAAGCAGGTCTCGGAAGGCCAAAGTTGTTATCTAGTTGCTTGTTTGTGAAATTAAATTTTCCAAGCTGTTCTCAACTCTTAACACAAATTACTAGGTTCACCTGTATCATTACAGATGTCACAGATACAGATGATAATGATACATATGCATCATTACCGCACTGCATAGGCTGCCCTGCCCGCCTCACCTCCCTCTGCCCCATCTTCCCTGCAGCTCGCCCTTCACGTTTCAGCAGTAGAAATCAACAGGAGCTGTGCAATGCCAGCTTTATTTCAACACATGAGTTAATTATACAAGCTGGTGAGGAAAATGAGACGCAGATGACTCACCTTCGCTCTTCGTACAGACTGTAACCTGGACTTTGTTATGCTCCTCAACAAGGTCGTGCAGCTTGGTAGACTGCTGTTGATGGGAAAGCAATTGCAGTGTTGAAACACCAATACTCAAGTGAAGCAGTAGGTTACAATGCAGTGACCACGCTAACATCACAGAAACTGAACTCTGCTGAGTTATCCGGGGGAGGTTTCACATCCTTTGCTAGAAGTCAGGATGAGAGTTCATTGAGTTAACCTAGAACAAGCTGCCATGGGAACATGGACATGATTTTCTCTTTGCTTCCCATTCATGCTGCTGTATCTCCCTCAACCTTCAAGGGGCTGTTCCTGCTTCACGCCAGATAGCTGCAAAATTGCTATCTGCAATCCCTTAGTAGGGGGTTTCTTTGTGCTCAACACTGTTATCCTTGCTAGGAGGCTATCAACAGGACAACAAGTTGTAAAGGGTATCATTACAAAACTACCATTGCAAGAAGAAAAACAGAAATTCTAATTTAGCTGGGTGTCTGTGTTTTGCCAGTTTTTGCAATCTAATTCAGACAATTATATATCCTGAGATAACGATGAAGTCAACTGTCATTGCAAGGCCATTAGAGAGAATGCCTTATCTTGATTTAAAAGTTGCAGTTGCAAAAAAAAAAAAAAATCCCTGAGTGTGGATTTCTTCATTAGTATTGTTCATGTGAAGATGTCAAGCCAGTTTGAAGAATATCCAGAGGCCCCAAACGTAATTCTTCCTGCCAAAATTGTCAGTCACACAATAAAACCAACTTTGCCAAAGAAAGCTGAACGGACCATATCTGTTCTTTGTGCTCTGCAATACCAGGACGGACATCAAGAGTTTAGGTACAAAGGTGTGCTTAAAGAGATGCGAGCATTTGTTCAACATGGGAGTGCTGTCATCCTACAGATATTAGTCAGAGATACAAAACAGTGATGTGCAGCCAACACACCTGTGCTGGCAAAAGCCCCAGCTATTCACAAAGCCCTCGCTGAAAGCAGTGTGAGGCAGCAATCAAGGCATGCCCTTGGCGGGGCAGAGGGTGCGCAGGACTGCCTCATCAGCACCGCACACCCGTGAGCACATACTGCACAACGTCCTGTGAGTCCAGGGGCCCGGGACCTATGTCAGGAACATGCTGTGTACCTCTACCAGCCCAAGGTAAAGAAGAGCTGATTCAAACAAAAGCCAGCTCCTGGAAAGGCAAATTATTGCCTCCTCCTGGGCAGCACTTCACAGAGAAGTCTGTATACCGCCTTATCAAGGAACATTTCTAAGGGCTGAATCTTGCCCTTCCCCAGTAATTCAGTGCAGGAGGAATTATTTTAGCAGTGAATTTGGAGGCAATATGTGAGCCATGCCTGGCTCTGAAGCAGCACATGAGCCTACCAGACAGGTCAGCGCACCCCAGAGCTGCTGTCCCTTCAGCCCCGCCACCACCTTTAATCACACCACGCTGACTGCAGGAACTGTAATTCTCAACGCTGTCTTCTAATCTTTGTATTTTTCCTGAAGACTAACAAAAAGTTCACCACTATTCTGGAAGCCCCAGTCAATTTTGGTTTTAAATCTTAACAATACAGAGAAATGTGATACCTAATATCCAGACCTGAGAGACTAGAATGCTGCCTGCCAGACTCCTGTTCCTATCTCTCTTCCCTGTCTGTACTTTCATCCAAATAGTTTCTCTTCTTTTCCCTATTATATCCTTTCTCCATGTGATTTTTAACTTCCCTGCATATTTGAAGTGGGTTCAGAAATCAAGGAAATGTTTTCCAATTTCCCAGAAAAAGTGTTCTGCAATTCCAGCAGGAAGCACCAGGAACCTCTTCTGGCTGCAGGAGGATGTTCAATGAGCAGGCAAACGTTGCGTAAGGCTCAGCTCAGTCTATTTGCCTTTGCCATAGAGACTGAAGGTTTCAGGTTTACCACAGGTGAGTGCGTTAGGTCAAAAAGTGAATGAGCTGAGACTATCACAAAATTCTTTCAGGCATCTGTATCCATGACAGAAGTGTTGAACAAATTTGAGAAATAGAGTCATGTTTCTCTTTGCTTTTAAGACCCATTATTTGGCAAACCTTAAGAGGAGTAAATCCTCCTGAAATTACACTAAGAACCAGACTCACAGATATAGTCCACCTTCATAAAGTCTTACAAACCCCAGGTATCAGACTTCAATCTTCTTTAATTCTTGGGAAGATCAAGACCCGCAGGTATGACCTTTTTAACTCTTCTATAGCAATAAGTCCATAGTAATACAGCAGAATACACAGCAATAAAAAAAAGAACCACAAAGAGCATATAAATATCTACCTGTGCCTGTGATAAGATGAAATTGCTAGCAGAGTGTAGGATGGGGAGCTGGCAGGCAGACTCACCTGTCTGAGGTCGTACACGGTTAAGCCAACAGAAATGATCGACAGGATTATGATGGCCATAGAATATTCAATGTAGCCTTGGCTCAGCCACAGAGTGAGGGTGAAGGCTTGGAACACATAGAAGGGGTTTAAAATCTGCAAAAGCAAGTGTAACACATGTCAGGGGACAGACATAACGCATATCAGGAGAGATCAAGTGTGGAAAGAGATGAGTACATTTCATTACAGAGTCCTGGGGTCTTAAACACTGATTTAAAGGGTTGTTTTTCCATCCCAAGGCAGCATTCTTTCATGACTTTTTAGAGAGTTAATATCCTTCAGGTCTGAATTTACCAGCTTACACGTGGTTTGTGATGTTTGTAATTAAAACTGTTGCTAACCAGTTACTATGCAGCAGTGACTATGCTGGCAACTTAAAGTCAGACTTAAGGGACTTCAAGTTGGTTGGTTTCCCACCATAGCCATCTAACAAAGGTGACCTTAACATTTCAGATTCTAAGTAACTCCTACATAGGACACACCACCCAAATGGGGGGGAAGACTTAATTACGCTAAAAATCTTTAAGACTTAAGAAAGCCACTATGAACATATTTATTTGGAAAAAGAAAAATGGTAAACTAATGGTCTGTGGGGCCATCAGTAATCAGTTGTACACTACAGCTGAAATGAAGGCTTGCTTTCCTTGTACTTCCACACTTCTAGTTACTCTACATTGTGTCAGCCTTACAATACCAGTCATCACTTTAATGTGTTATGTTAAAACAGGCCACAAGCCCCAGTGAAGTCCGAGAATATAATTTTGGTTATTATGGTATCTAACAACAGAATTAGATGAATTTTGTCAGATTTGCCCACCACTTGGCTTGTCTGAAGGAGCCTGCCAACTTTTCTGTAGAACTGGTATAACCAAAATAGCCACTGAAAGAGCTTTCTCTATAAAGACTGGAACTGAAATGAATTATTCATCTGACAAATTGGGTCCCTCAATGAAAATTTAATCCTTTCTTCGACATTCACTAGGACAAAGAGACAGACACTAAATCAAGGTGCCAGCCTTTGGACATTGAAGCCGTATTTGGACAGAAATACCACAAGCTGATGGGGACCAGTCTGCCTTCAGGCATCACCATTAATATTTCAGACATGAAGCTTCAGCCTTGGATGGAAGTGCAAAGGTCAAATTAAATAAACTTTTTAGAGTGCTACACTGGAGTTTTCTTCAAAACCATCTCCAGAGGGCACTGAAAAGTTGGTAACATCAAATCCTACCAATTCCAGGAGCCCTGGAGCTTTTCATGTATTTTCTAAGGTTTCACACAAACTCCACTTAAAGTTCAGACACAGGCTAGCTTTGAGTCCCAGCATTCATAGCTCTTTGCCATTTTAAAGATGTTCATGTAGCATCCTTAATCCATTAAAGTGAACACAGATGACATGACAGTATCCTGTATGAGAAGCCTCTGCTTGCAAGTTGGCAAAATATACGTCCAGTATTTCTATATGCAAACTCAGCAAATAACCATCCATACATGTCTCTCCTCTTATTTACAAGATGTGTTTGTTTTGTTCCCTGTAGAAGAACAGTCTTGCAGTGTGCCCTTATTTATGCAGGAAAAAATTTGTCTTGTGCCTGTGTCATAGGAGAAAAGGAAGCTACTAGGTGAACAAGGCAATTATAAAATAGGAATTTTGCAATTGTTTTCCTCCATTCTAAAGCACACTCCCAGTTTACACTGCTGTTGAGGCCACAAGCAAGCTTGTACAATGTTTTGTATTACTTTTGAACTGCTAAAACAAGGCTTATGAAGAGGAACAAACGTGACTTAGTCGTACCAATAAAATTTTCACTGCAGATATCAAGAGCCTACATGAAAGGACAGAGTTACTGATGTGGCTGTGTCAGTCCTAGCAGTTGCAGAAAGCATGAGCACTCCAGGTGCATGTTAGTGCTCAGTCATGAGACAAGACGTCCCAGCTCATGGGAGATGTTCAGTCATGCATAGGGGACTACAGCAGAGGAAGAGGACATCAGTCCTCCACATTCCTGCTCCCCAAGAAGGGATACAGTCATCATAAGGGAAACATTTAACCGTTATAAGTATGCAGCACCAAGCATCCTCTTAACTTCATATTCTTCCCTGTAACCTTCTGCCAGGAAGGTGTGCTAATAGCCATGAAGGACGTTCACCAACTTTCCTCCACGGCTTATGCCTATGAAGCATCAATCACCCCACCCCAGTGTGCCCAGGTAAAGTCTTCAAAACACTTCAAACCTGTCCCACCAAGTACTAGTCTGACCTCTAGTCACCAAGACTAGTCTGACTAGTTACTGACCTCTTTAAAAAGTAACTTCCAAATAGGACGAATTTCAACTTTGATGGCATTAGGCCCACACACCAGCTGCCTGTAGGAAGGTAGAGAAGATTTCCTCATGTTACAGCTTAGTCACATAGGGTAAGACTTCATGTGGAAAACTGTACACCCAAATAACATCAGCACTTCTCTAAAAATGTCCCGGGGGCACCACGTGGCTGAACTGGACAAATAAACCTGTCAGGAAGATACTGTATCGGAGAGGACTTTACACAGAGGGAGAATTTTACTGTTTCCTGGCTGAGAACTTGTCAATTTGCTGCTAAGATCTGTGATGAGCTTTCCAGAGGGCTTTTAAGGAGAAAAGAGCAAAGGAAGCCAGTCCTGGATTGCTGTGCCCTGAACCCCAAGTGGAACTGGTGGCATTTTCCCCAGACTTAGCCTGGCATCACTGAGAAGATAATGAGCTCAAGGGTGTAAGGGATATTGATTTTGCACCTTTCCAAATGTCGCCCATGCAGTTTGCACTGCCTTACTGCTGAGTATCATGAAGCTCACATGAATTCAAAAGGAAGGACTAATAGGTCACACTGTCACAATTAGCTCGCACATCTACTTATATGTAGACCATACCTGATCTTCTGTTCTTCCCTTGTCAGGCCAGCTCCAAACTTGTGGTGTATGCTCTGACATGTGTTGCTGTCTTCTAATGAGCTAGGATAACAGGAGAAAGTTCACACAAGGGAGTCCTCTACCACCTCTACCAAAGAGGTCTGTAAAAGGCTGTTGACACTCACCCAACTTTCTTGAATTCTTTTACAGAAAAGTCCCAAATATAACGGATTTTCTGCACCTGGATACATCTTATCTGCAAGACCAAACAGGAAAAACTCCATTTGCCATTCAAGGGAAAATCATCTCACTGCTACAGAAATGCTTCCCCATGTTTTAGGAGAAAACCTGAGCTTATGTAAACAGTATTTGCAGGAAGATGCTGACAAAGCACCCTTGGGAGCCTCTGGATGCTGTGACTCCTATGTTCACCCACCTCCTCCCTGACACCTTTCATTTTATAGATGATTTACCTTTAACTGTGGCTTCATTACGGCTCTGTTTATGACAGAGTCTTTATCAGCTACCAGACGACCATCTGAGTTACTACCAACAGGTAGTGCCAATGTGGACAAATCAATCCAGGTCACCTTCTTCCGGGTGTATCTCTGGAACTCATCCTAGAGAAATAGAGCACAGTTCAGTGGCAAGCCCAAAATGTTGCCTGTGATATAATGTTTCCTGACTCTGGGAAGTATATATGAGATTCCCACAGAACTACAGTACTATGGCACTATTGCAATCACAGCAACTGTAAGACCATAGTAACAGGGATGCTGGTGTTAGTGTTTTAGTACCAATCAGTAATGCATTTCAAAGTCAGTCTCGTAGTCATCTCCCTTTGCTTTGGTTCATGATGCAGAACAAATTGAGAAAAGATGAAACTAAACCAGAAGAAGTGCTTCAATAGCTACTGGATTGATATTCAGTCTGCGGAATCATACTAGAGCTACTTGGAAGTAAAAGCTTTCTGAAATACTCCTGGTGTGGACATTGAGTCCTCAACACAAGCTGCTTCGCACTACAAAACTCCTGCAGTGCTGGGCACATCCATTGCCAAAAGCAACTCAGCTTTATTGCTATAATGCATTTGTCAGACTGAATTGTCCTTTAGTCAGTCTAATGTAACTAGTTACAATGAGCAATAGATTATTCATGTAGTGGTTTGAGTGAATTTATTTTAGGAATATCATTGGAACGCTGAGCATTAAGTGTCTTAAGCACTTGCTCTGCTAGAATTGCATTGAGATTTAATTTACAGTCATGGAATCGTAGAATATAACTAGTGCCTGAAACTGAGCTCTCTAAAATCCATCTCCTCAGCACTCTCCAATAACTTTAAAGCAGAAAGGCTGCTAACAGCCACAACTTCTGAAGAGGATCCCTCTGCTGAGGCCAGCCGGCTGCCCATGCACATAAATGGAGGGAAGAGGCAGAGCTGTTTCACTGAAGATACTGGCAGAGGGCAGCTGCTGAGGCCTGTGGATGTGCAGCAGCAGCAATGCCTGAGGTCTGCTTGGTGCCCAGCCTTCAGGCAGAGTAGCTGCGCTCTTGTTAGTGTAAAAACGGTCTTTTCTGCAGTATTTCAAACTCTGCAAATAAAAACTCTTGGTCTTCTGAAGCTTCGCTCATCCCAGTCGCTCCACTTCCAAATGTGGAAAGTGTCATTACCCCGCTACCATCATGCAAAGACAGACAGGCTGACCTATCTCTGAAAACAATAGGTTCTGCAAATAACAAAGAGTTAAGAGGGTTCACCTACTGTTGTTCTAAGCAGAACAACGTCTGCTTCTTCCAAGCTGCAGCAGATGCAGTTTGCCCACACATCCCACTCTGGCTTCCAGTAAAAGAGCAGCAGCAGAGCCCCACAGGACAAGATGTATCCAGCAGTGCAGAAGACCCTCCGCCAGCCTTGGGTTTTGTAGCCAAATATCTCCTGTACAGCAAAGAGAAACCATCCTTTGTTAACAAGTTTGACCTTGGCATTTGTTCATCAGGAAGCCCAAGCTAATTGAAAAGAAAGGCTGGTGACTGAAGTCCTCCCTCATAGCCGCTCAAGCTCATTTTTGGAAATGGGAGTTTGCTGATTGATACAACATAGTTAAGAATACAGCAGAGCTGCTGTAAGGAGGATGCTGCTGGGATGCTGCCGACAGAGGAACGTTCTCACATCAGCTCTCCCAGGATTAATGAAGAGTTAACTCCAGTCTGGACCTTTTTCCATCAAGACTGCAGCTGACCCATCACGGTAACACTTCTCTACCTGCAGTGCTAGCACCGAATAGCCCTGCCTGCCACTGAGGAGGATGTCTCCACGCAAACTTAGTGCTGACTGCTGAAATGTACCTTGCAGCAGGGGCACAGAATCTGTCTCAGGGAAAGAAAACTGCCAAGCCCGGAGCAACTCCTCTGGGGTATCAGGTACCATACCTACTGGTATGTTATCTTCCACCAGGCACACCTTATCTTGAAAACAAATATGGAAGGGCTTTTTTGCTCTGTAGACTCTCTTCCTCCAATTTATTCCCCAGGTCATCTGTCATCTTCCCCACTTGCCCTTTCATTTTGATAGCCCAATAGTCATCTATCCAGTGATGCTCCATTGTCTATGATTGCTAAATCTATAGCTTTAGTTTTTCCCTTAAGAAGAACTTTGGATTTTTGTACCCTTTGATTCACTTTAAACCTGCCCATGAGGCTAAAAATAACTTTAAGGACTTGGCATAACTCGATCCTTCTCTTCACAGCAGATGCTTTCCCAGCCCTCTCAGCACCCTGCAGGGCATGAGTGAAGCGGGGAGATGCTCAATCCACAGCTGGTGGCTCACAGCACCCAGAGACGCCAACCCTTTGAACACATCACCCACATCCATGTGGCCACAGCTCTCACGACAGTAGGTGGTAGGTGCCACGCTGGCCCTGCAGCCCACACCCACCCCCTCAGCAGCTGTGTGTCTGTCCCTTTCTGCTTCCCCACAGGCACCAAGACGGGAAGGAACCCAGGCAGCCCCCACAACGGGACTCACTTCGTGCCACCCATGCTGTGGTAGAAGGACGACTGGTGCTTTGCAGGACAGAGCTTGCAACAAAGCAGACTCCTTCAAGAGGGCTTGTACAAACAATTTTACTGGTTCAACTTCAAATATAATTTTCAAGTGATTTAGAGGCAATGTAATAAGCACCTATTGAGGTTTAAGAGAGGAGTTAACTTGATTTATCTGAACTCTGATCATAATCAACATAAACTAAGCTGAAATCAATGCAGCTCAACTGAAATAAAGATAATCATGCAGGCCTTATACCAGGTTAGCAAAATCCATTCCAAACCAGCTCTCTAGCCTTTAGATGTGTAGCCCTGCTGTATACAAAATATTATTACTTCAGAGGCCACAGAAGTTTAAATCAATAACTACGATGGTGTTTTCAGGGTGGGAGGACAAACCACAGTGTCCACAACTAAGGAAATTCAAGGCGATTTTCATCTGCTTGCCTTTTCATAGCAGGATTTTTATAAAAACACTCCAAATGCCAGCTTGCAAACCAAGGAGCCTGTTACAGGGGCGTCTGGAATGACAAATGTGTGTGGGACCACAACTCATCCATCACCCACAAGGGACTGGAGAGGATCAGTCTGCAGCCAAAGGTGGGGAAAAGGCTGAGGAAGAGCTGTGGCATTAGGTCTGGACGAGGGCAAAACTGGGAGTCACCCAGTGAGAGCATTTGGGGATTTCTAGCATGAGCCGAACATGGGCTGCTGCCAGCAAGTGGGGTTCTACCACACAGCTATATGCTAAGCACTGCAACTGAGGAACCCAGACATGCATTAGACATGTGCCATGCTTTAAACCCAGCTGGCAGCCAAGCACCACGCAGCCACTTGCTCGCCCTCCACTGCACAGGGAATGGGGAGGGAATTGGAGGGGTAAGGAGACTCACAGGTTGATATAAAAAACAATTAAATAATTGAAATAAAATACAAATAACAATAATAACAGAATATACAAACGAGTGATGCACAATGTGATTGCTCACCACTCACCGACTGATGCCCAGCGTGTTCCTGGCAAGCAATGGCACAGGACAGAGAATCCCAAAACCACAGTCCTGGAAGTGAGAGCATGAGCTTCCCGGCCCACACGCATCTATATACTGAGCACAATGTTGTATGATATGATATATTTCATTAGGCAATTTGGGTCCGTTGCTCTGGCTATGCTCCCTCCCAGATTCTTGTGTACCTGCACACTAGCAGAACATGGGAAGTTGAAAAGTCCTTGATTTCTTAGCAACTAAAAACATCAGTATAATTATCAACATTCCTCTCATACCAAGTCCCATTCTGAATCAAAAAGACTAGTACCCAGCCTGTTCTCAGAGGATACACACTGGGCATTCACACAGGACCTAGGAGGAAGTACTGAAGGCCAGAGCTGAGGGAACCTGTGTTCGTGGCTGATGTACCCCACTGAGCCTGCCTGCAGTAAGAAGAGTTCTCCAAGAAGTGCAGCAGCTGGAAGCAAGGCTGCTCCAGCAAACAGGACCACAGGAATCTATATTATGAAAAACATCCCTTGGCCTGACGCAGACTACCTTGCACAAGGCAGACTGTCAGCAGCATCCAGGGCAGAGTCAGGGCCCTTCTCTGCCAGCAAGGTTACAGCCTCAGGCTGGATGGAGCAAGGGAGGTGTCTCCTGGAAGTGGGTGCAGCTCATCTGAGGTACACAGACTCCCAGCTAAAAGGCTGCTTGCGGCAACAGCATCACTCCACCCAGCCACCCAAGCCCTCCATCCTCATCAGGGACTTGGCATCCCCACTGCTTCTTAGGCAAGCAGAGGCGGGCATTGAGGGCCACATCCACACACCAGTGATCCACAGAACAACACTGTCTGTAGCAATCAGCAGGACATAGGTGATCCCTAGCTGACTTCTTACCTGCCTCCCACAGCAGATTTTTTATTTTGTGCTGAACCCAGGCTGCTGCAACTGGCCTGAGCTCCCTGGCCTGAAACAAGTTCACACGGGCAGCAGTCAAATCACAGCAGGAATTTAGTGAAGGCAACCAGGAAAGCTGAAGCCCCACTGCTATTAGTAGCCTTGCAAGCAATCCAGAGGTGCAAGGTGTGCTCTGCAGGGCAGGATCTCTCCCACCTGTGCATGCCCTGAGCACCTGCATTCCCATGACAGAGGCACCTTCTCTGTCCCCAGGGTTTGGCAAAGAGTGACACTGAAGAAGCTGGGAAGCACCTGCCAGGAGCCTCTGCTTGCAGAGGACAGAAAGTCCTGTCCTGGGGGTGTGTGCCGCTGTGCTTCCCGTACACACAGCACATATATATCTCCTGCAAATGCAGGAGTGACAGGACTGTATTTTACACCTGTGCAGAGGCATCTACTTCCATGCCCACTCTGTGCATGGGAGATATCTGGATCCCAGTTGTTCCTTGCACAGAAAGCTAATGGAGAAAGTCTTACTCCCACCCTCATCAGTTTCTGTGTAATCACTCCATGTTAGCAGGAAGGGTTTCCAACTCACTGTGTTGCAAAGCACTAACTTAGTGCAGCCGTTCCAGGCTGCTGCACATAATCAGTAATCAATCACAATCAAAGACAGAAAGATTCAATTAACATTTATAAAAACCCCTTGTAAGGACAGAGTAGCTCCATAAAAGCTGCTGTAAAAGAGTGAGAAATAAGGGATTCCTACCATGAGAGCTGCAGTAGATTTTGGTCATTTGCCCAATCTTCCTAGACCTGGAAAGCAGCAAAGATCCTTACTTTTCAGAAGTGATTTAATCACTACTTCAAACAACTGTCCAAGATGAAACTCATTTGTAAGCCCCTTTCCTATGTCTTGCTTTCTGATACATGGTGACCCAGTAAGGGAAAGTGTACCCATTATTAGAGATCCTCACAATTAGGATGGAAAAAACAATGAAACAGCGGGAAAAGGGACACTGCTCCCTGGCCAGATGACTTCTGGTGGGCAAAGAGGTCTCTTCCATGTTTTGTGCTTCTGAACTGAAGTCATATGTTTCTCACTTAACCCTTAATTTGCCAAAGTCATCAAGGAGCGTTGAAGAGACAGCACCTGGATGGGGAGTGAAGGTGAAGAAGCAGAGGAGGCATATCCAAAATGGGCATGTGGGAAAAGAGGCGCACAAGGAAAACAAAACCCAGCGCGGTCCCCCACTCCTTACCAGCTCATTTTCTTCATCCTTGTTGAGGAGCACACAATGATCCTTCCAAAGCTTTTTCTCCATCTGACCACGTTGTTTTCTGTCCTGGATGTCCTTGTTGGTGGGGTCAAGCAATGTTGAATGCAGTTACTGACTTGAACTCAGGCCAGTGTTAAAGTCACTCTCACCATGGTCCTGTCTGCTGCCTTTGAAAGTCTCACAGTGCACACGCTTCTTATTAGGCTCCCAGGAGAGGGAGGAAAATCCACCCTCACGTGTAAAGCCCTTAAATGCCTGGCTTATGTAAGACGTGTGTTTTTCCGCCTCCTGGCTTTGCTGCATTCACTGGGGTGGGACTGGCTGGGGCAGAGCTCTGGTGGCCAAGGGAGGGAGGGCACCCGTGACCCTGTGCTGGGGAGACGGCTCTGCGCAGCGCTCGGAGGGACATCGAGGCACATGGCAAGGAGAAGGGTTGGAATCCCCACACAGAGCTGACCCCAGAACAGCCACCCTAGCACCAGGAACCACCTCCAGCATGTCAGAGAGAAGCATCTGCTCTGGCGAGATCAAGTGTCTGGGCCTGAGCTTGGTTTCAGTGCAGTGGAGGCACATGCTGGAGCAGTGCTTTTCAGGTATGAATTCAGTCTGAACTTCCCCACTAGCTCTGGGCATTGCCTCAAATAGGAACTTTGGTTCAAATGCTGCCTGAGTTACAAGGAAAGAGCAATAGGGCTGGATGACTCCTGGAGAAGCCCAGCTGGGTGACACAGGACCCTTGAACAGCTTGCAGTGTGAACCCCTGTGAGCCAGGGAGAGAAGGGGTCTCCAACCAGTCCCCCTGGCAGAGGCAGCAGCAGCAGACAGGCTTGGGACCCCCACTGTGCATCTTCCAGTCTCTCATATCCCATCTCTCAGAGCTGTCAGAGACATTTTTCAAGCATTAACCTGAAATTGCTCTGTCTCACCCCATTCTCCTTCTGTCACAAATTCTGAAAACAACCATTTATCTAGGCAGGGAAAATGGGCTGCATTATTTTCCTGGAATAAAGTACATGTCTGTGTGAATAGACACAATGGCTCAGACCCTTTTTGGCCCAGCCACAAAGAAGTAATTCTCTATTGCTGAGACCAGGGTATTTAAACTCCATAAAGAGACACAGTTTTGCATACAGTGTTATTCCCCAGTGATGGCAAATCAGGAATTCTTCTAAATTCTCCTTTCCCCAGTTGGGAGAAAGAATGATGCCCAGGGACTGCAGTGCATCATGTCTGGAGTCCTCTAAGTCTTCCTCAGTCTGAAGCTCCACCCTGGAAAGAGCTCTAACAGCTGAGAGAAGCACCTTTCACTAGGCAGACTGCTAAGGAAATAAAAGCATTTATCCATGTTTCTTCTCTTTGAAACAGAACAAGGAGAGGCCAGGCTGTCTGGCCCTAGGATGACCAAAGAGCAATTTCCACTTTGCTGCGCCCTGAATCTACCTGGGGCTGTCTCTTCTGCATAGTCCAACCAGATCCATCTTTGAGGGGTTCTTCCAGCTGCAGTTGTGTCCATGAAACAGCAAAGATGGACCAAACACTGAAGAATCCTGAAGAAAAATCAAGGTATGATGGAAAAAATACATGTTTTTCTTTTTTCATAGACATTATCATTTTGAACTGTCTAAAGCATGAATTGAATCAGATTTCAGCATAAGTAAACAGTCCCCCCTTGTCCCTCGTTATCCTCTGAGAGGGCATTGGTAAGCTTGTCAACCTATTCTGCACATCAGCCACTGTCATGTAGGTACCTGGACATGATACACTTGCAATCCACAACCTGGTTTTCAGAAGCAGTGCCCATTTCTACAGGTCTTGTACCTGGCCCTTACACAAAGTCCAGCTGTGTCCTTTGTGGACATTCCTGTGGCAAAAGGCTTGTACACAGAGATAAAGTGCAACCCACTGTAAGAAGGTGATTGCCTCCTACAAGCCAACGCCTCCTGTAACTCTCCAGAAGGAAACTCAAGAGAGGTATCATTAGCTGGGTGGTGTTACTAGTTCTCTCTATTTTGATCATCCAGGCTGAGTTGCATTTCGTTTATAACAATATGACCTCCAGTCTCTGGACTGGAGTCTCAGCAGTTTCCCTGTGTGGGGCAGCAGGATGCCCACCACTGCCGCCGCAGCCCACACTCGCAAAGAGCTCCCCAAGCTGCGTGGGACACCTCCAGCCACAGCCCAACAAGCTGTGGAGCCAGCACCTGAAAAGGCAAAAAAGAACTCAGGGAATTACAGGCCAGTCAACCCAACTGGAATACACAGACAAATGAGAGAGAAAATTCTTAAGTAGTCAGTTTATAAGTACCTAGGGGATAATAAAGTGATAAGGAGCAACTAACATGGATCTGTCACAGGAAGATCCTATCAAACCAATCTCATTTCCTCCCTGACAGGAAGATGCTCCAGGGAACAAGAGAGAAGCAGGTAATGTGGCACATTCAGGCTTTTGACAGAGCTCCCTGTGAGATATGAAGATACTGAGAAATAGGATTCTTTTATGATGGGCTGAAGGTGTCAGTGGTTCACTGTCCATCCCAGGGGACCCAAAATATTTGTTTTTTGTTAGCAGCTTGGATAGCAGGATGGGGCAGGCAACTGAAAGGTGTTTATGACACTGAGCTCATGGAAGTGCCTGCTTCAGAAGAAAAAAACAATGTAGCATGATTTTGGGATGCTGGCCAGATAGTCTGAATTGACCATATGAAATTCACTGAAATGTTGCACTTAGTAGCTGGAGGAAACAAGTACAAAATGGGGAGATGGAGGCCAAGCAGGTGTATGACAGAGAAGGAGACATAGCTAACTGCAGGCTGGGTTTCCTCTTGCCAAAAACGTGACTGTCATTCTAAGCCACAGTAGCAGGAGGCTGGAGAGATCTGTAAAATGGGAGAAAATTTATTCCACTCGACTCACTGTTAGCAAGTCCTCAGATGGAGTTCAAGCTCTAGGAAGGTGTGACCTAATAGCAAGAGATGAGATGTTTGGAAAACATGACCCTTGAGGAAAAGTTGAGTAACTGAGTTTGTTTAAACTAGAAAAGAGAAGGCTAAAGGGAAACATAACAACTCTTGTAATACATGAAAGAAGACAGTCAACTATTTTTTTTTCTCCTATTCTTATTAGAGACAAGGAGAAATCAGATTAATTTCTTGTTAGAATAAGCAGTTAGATTTTAAGAGTTCATTTAGATATTCAGGAAGATTTTCTATCTTAAAGGATAGCAAAATACTCAAGCAGGCTACCTAGGGCAGGGGAAGTCTTGTACAATTGAAGATTTTAAGGAAAAGCAGGACATAATTTGCCAAGGATGATATAAGGATTGGTAGATCTTGCCTCAGAGCAGGGAGATAGATAAAATAACAACGTCATGCCCCCACCAGCCTCACACTCCCGTGATTTCTGCAGGAATCCCTGTCCAAGCTCAGTAAAGCACAGCCCAGACCTTCACTGCATTGGGGCAAAGGTTCTTTGTGAATTCAGATTCAGGTAACCTTTTTTAGTGGGACCATGACATTTATTTCTGGGACCAACCAGTCTGCAATGAGATACCCACACAGCAGGGTTCATCAGGACTTGCATTTCTCCAGTCTCACCTGTATTTTTTCTTGTGTACTTTCTTCTGGTTTTGTATTTCTCCTGATGTTCCCATCATTCTGCCCTCCTCTTTCTCCTTCCCTGTGCTCTGATCAGGTTTATTCCCAGCACTAGTAAGCATCTGATACCAAGTTATTAAAAAACCTTACCTGTATTGAACAGCTGAGCAAAGCTATTGAAAAGCAAAACCATGCTTGATTTCAAACCCTTTGTCCCAGTGTCCAACTGCTATCAGTTACCACCTGGATCTCTCACCCCGCGTGCCCTTGCTCTACCTCTGTGCCCCAGCCATCTCACAGGTTAGGTTACCTGAGGGCAGACCTATCCGTTATCTGAGACTGAAGTTTTTTAGAGCTTGTAAACAGATCAGAGGCTTAATGACTTCATTCTTCAGCTCATCAGCAGGCAGGGGGAGCCAAGAAGGTAAGTTTACTTAAAAGTCATCCAGGTTTGCCTCGATCTCTTGAGGAGCATGGATGAGACCTGTTGTTGGTAAGCACAGTGAACTTTCTAGTAGCAGCCAGAATGACTCAGACACTTGCTGGGTATCTACGGGCCCTGTGCATGGTTCCGGTATCAGAGGTGGTGTAGCTCCACCACAACATGCCCTGTGCACTAATCCAGCATCCTGAAGAGGACAGTGGGTCAGTCCACACAGGACACTGCCCTTACAGGGCCAGATGCCCCCAGCAGTGGGCTAACTCATCCCCAGCAAACTCGGGGGAAGCGTGCTGCTCTGTGCTGTGGAGAAGCAGACTGCTCTGTGCAGCTTCAGCTGTGCACACACAGGGAAGAGAGAGCTGGAGAATTGCTCTAAAACATGCCACCCACCAGCAAAGCAAACAAAACATTAGGACCTTCATGCAGATGGGTTGAAAGTTGACAGGGGCAATGGCATGGTGCTTTGTCTTGAGGAAAATGGATGGAAAAAGGCATCTCAGAATCACTGTTGGCTCCTGGTCCCTTCCCTCAAGTCTGTTCACCCAGCACAAGCACCTGCTGCTCTGAGTGTCCTGGCTTACCAGGACAGACTGTTTTGGCACTCTCCACAAAAGAACAATCACGAGAAACTTGAATCACAGCCTGCCTGAAATCCTTCCCCTTCTCCTTTCCGTAGCACTGCCAAGGGCAGTGATGGGGAGACTTGCTTCCCAGGAAGATCCTGCTGTCCCCATCATCACGCTCCCAGATAAACACAGGAGCCTGAGCTGCTGCTGGGGTGATGCTGGTTGAAGGGAGAGGGCTGGCAGGTAGTGCTGCAGAGCTCAGCCCAGGGGAAGCCCTCAGCATCAGCGTGCACCTGCAGGGCTCTGTATTATCCAGGGGAACACAGTAGGACACGCCCAAGATAACTTCACTGAGGGGTTCTTAAAGGAGATCTGGGCATTTTGTGTGTCATTCCTGTAGCTGGAGCCAAAACACATTCTGCCTTGGCTGTGTATTTCTGTTATCTTTGCTATGTACCTCACTTGGCTGCCTCACTGACTCAGGTGGAGAAGAGGCTGCAGTGTAGTGTGGGGGAGACAACTTGGGCCTCTTGGATCTCTGCCTTGGCTTTTGCAGGCACTGAAGATGCATTGCAAAGGCAGATATTTCAGAGAGCAAGAGGAGGGCAGCGAGGGTAAGGTGAGAGCCCTGGGGAGCTTGTTCAGAGC